GGCTTTGAAATAATGAATGTACATGAGCTTGTTTTTCTGGGGAAATAAAGCAAAATGTGGCTCATTTAACAATTTTATCAAATAACAAATTTTATTCGGGACTCACCACATTGAAAACCTTTCAACATCACTGTTATGTCTACAGTTCAGTATCTCTGAAGGGTGTTTAGAAAGTCTGGGTCCAGAACAACGTCAGTGGGTGTTTAAATGTGGGCTGATTCAAGGTGTGTGTATGTTACCTGGTAGTCCACCAGGAGTTCTGGGCCTTTGAAGTATCGCGATGCCACTCTGACGTTGTACTCCTGGGATGGGTGGTAGAACTCTGCCAAACCCCAGTCTATAAGACGTAGCTATGGAAACAAGTTATCCTCATTCATTGACTTCACAGTTTTGAATATTGAATATATAAGAATATAGAGAAAGAGGAAGTACACAGCACTACCGGATGTAACCAAATATCCCCTGTCAACACACACTGTTACCATAGTGTGTGATATGTTTTCTGTCGGGTATATTGGGTTAATTCTCATTTATGCTAGCCTGCTGACCCCTACTGGCCAAGGCTGGTAAGAATCCATGTATATTTGAATTTAATATGGTGTTGCTCAGCAGATGGCAGTAATATCAATACAGCTTTAATCAGTGGGATCCTCTGATGAAAATACACTCTATTTTTCTTATTTTGATGCTCTAGTTTGTCTTTCTTCACTGCAATTCCCACAAATCCCAGCAGGGCCAACTGTAACCATAACCACTGGCTGTGGGTATGAGGTCTTGGTTTGTTTTCCCTCTAGGTTGATATTTTAATCACATTGTGCTGAGACTGGGGCTGAAAATACGTCATGGTCACGGTAGGTAACACGGCCACAAGCCTGTACCTTCCCAGCTAATGCTAAACTAGCAGGCACAGACTAATTATTATGACTGGCTACAGATGCAGTTGTGACAGGTTGTAGTTATGATTAGACTGTAGCCATGGCTACAACAGCTGTGGACACTGCTGTTGCTGTGATTATGGCTATACTTTCTTGGCCAGAGTAACTATTTTTGGTGCTGTTAAAGGTGCCGTGTGTAACATTTAGGAGGATCTATTGGCAGAAATGGAATATGGAATGAAATATAATATGCATAACTACTAGTTATGTTTGTTAACTTTAGAATTAGCCATTGATATCTACAGACGCCTACAGGTGCCTTTCATGGAATCCGGGTGTCTGTACAAGCAAACATGTTTTCTTAAAACTGGAGAATAAGATATTGTAGGTCAGGGCATCTCTGCAGCACAACAGCACTTCATTACAATGCTGCTTGTCACACATTTTACCTTTATTAAAATTGCAGCGTCTGCGATTTGGATATTGCACTGGGCCATATTGTGATTTCAATAACATTGAGATTAATTGTGCAGCTCTAATCTACACCGCTAGAAGCCACTAAATCCTGCACACTTTACCTTTAAAACAAAAAAAAGCAAGCCAGACAGTCTCAATCATAGCCACAGCTAACATTATAACTATAGCAATAGCTATTAGCCGAGGCCACAGCAAGAGGCATGCCCACTAGTAACAGCCAGTGGCTAGGGCTGCAGTCCTAGCTTGGCTATCCTCTTCTTTCTTGATAGACACAGATTTTCTGTACTCTTTACTTTGTCTGTTCTGCAGTCACTGCTCATGTCTCGCCAGATGATATTTCTTCGTCAGATGTTCAGCACAGTCACAATAAATGCTTTCATGAAGTGCGTACAGAGTGAATTGTGTTGAAGCCCTCACTAACAGACAGCAACAAAACACACATTTATGAGTTGTGCTGTTATTTAGACACTGTGCGCATAAAAACCAAAGCTAATGCATTACCAGCCAACAATAGTCTAACTCCTTTTCAAATGGAGAATATAAAAAAGGAGAGGAATGAAAGGATAAAGAAAGCCAGAATGAAAATAAACAGCGAGAGAGAGAGAGAGAGAAAGAGAGAGAGATAGTGAGAGAGATAGTGAGAGAGAGAGCTGAAATAGCAGCCGAGAGATAATATTCGGAGTGTGTGTGGGTGTGTGAAGAAGAAAAAAGAACTATATAGGGCACCACCTACCTTTCTCAACTGGTGGTCGATCATCACATTGTGGGGTTTGACGTCACGGTGCATGATTCCCATACTGTGACAGTAGTCCAGAGCCTGGCAGTAACACACAAACGCGAAATGTCAGAGCAGACAAAGATATAAATATTGTTTACACAGTCTTCTGAATTCCCAGGAACCATGCCAAGATTAGAGTAAGTGAAAAAATGTCTTATTTATTGAATTGAACATTTTGAAAGTATGTAACAGGTCTCACCTTCAGTAGTTCATACATATAGAAACGGATATCATAATCTGTCAACTTCTGGTACAACTCCTGCAAGGAAAAACAATTTTCAGCATTTGAACCTTCAATTTGAAAAGCTGATGCCCCCTGCATCTTTTGCCCTGGCTGGGTCTAGTGAAGGCAGAACACATTCAACGGCAAGTCAACACTGTAGACCCAGATAAGTTAATTTAACCCAAAAAAGTATTGGAACTGATTACATTGACATTTTAAGTAAAACTAACTTAATTTTGTATATTAAGAAAAAAATTATTGTTCTAGTAGCTTTTTAAGTGAAACTGACTTAATTTGTCATGTTTTATTTGTAATGAAAAAATTGAAGTGGCACAAACTCAGTTTTTTAAGTTAAACTTGATTAAGCAGCGTGAAACCAAAATACCCAGTAAAAGGTAGTTAATCAGGAATGTTTCTCTAACTCACAAAACTAAGTTAGTTTCACTTAAAATTACTAGTAAAAGCTGCTTAATCAAGAATATTTTTTAACTTAAAAAACTGAGTTTGTGCTACTTAAGATTTAATCTGTTTCAACAAGTTTTTTTAGTTAAAATAACTTATTGCATTACAGTGAAAAAAATGACAGCAGAGCTCCAGAAGCATGCAGAAGAGAGGTGACCATTGTACCTTGAAGTCTGTGTTATTGATGCATTCGAAGACGAGCGCTGGAGTTCTGGACTGTACAGCCACCACAGGGAGACAGAGAGGGGAAACAATGAAATGAAACAATGAAAACACAGCAGGATGTGGCTCATTACTGATTCAGTCACCTGATTAATCACAGATTTGACAACCCCACTGTGTGATCTTACTGGAAGTGAACTGTACCCAAACTGGACACATAGTAAAACCATCTGCCTTACGTCTTATAGACGGCAGAGCAGTCGTTTCTGCTTGATTTCAAGCAAACAGACCAAAGACTGTGAATAAAATACTAATAATAAAAGTATTCTAACCTATGTTGTTTACAGGAAACTTGATCCCAAACAAAAGGAGCCTGCATGGTTCCCACCACTGCACTGCAAGACGCCCTGGATAAGTCAGTGTGCTTCCATGGCCTAAAAATACTCTTCCTTCCTGGTTTGTTGATGGTTTCCAACTCAGAAAAGTTCTCTAAAGGAGGTATTGACTTTGGTTTCCAGCACAGACTTACAACTGAAAAATACCTATAGCCCATTTGTAAAACTCTCCAAATAATTCTTTACTTTACTGGATTACATTGCTTACATTTCCTGACCAGTGGGAACCCTGACCCTGTAAACTAAAATAATCACAAGATGAGCAGCAGAACGACAACATTCCTTCCATCCACACTGACAGCAGCACCAGGTTTCACCCCCGTGATAAAAGTAATAATCACATCCAGTTGATAATCAACAATCAGTGCTTCCCAAAAGTGATTATATCATTTGCAACAGCTGAAATCACTCATAAAATCCATGATTTCCATAAACCCATCAATACCCAGTTGGCAGTTGCTTACTTGTGGTTTAAATTTCCATATGTGACACAGGTGTAAGGTAGCTGTTTGATCACATGCTGCAAGAAGAGTGATTTTTGGGGATTGATAAGATTAAATGGAACAAAAACATCAGATACAGAAATACAGTCAATAAGTTTTAAGTTGATTTTCTCATATGAACTCTAAAATGATAGAACAAAATAAAGAGCACTTCTGTGTTGACCTAAAGTGTGTTCAGGCACTGAAATTGGTATTGGGAAAGAAACAGTCCTATAACTATTATTACTACTAATAATGTCCTTATAGGAGTAATTAAAACAAACTCTGTAACTTGAGCTATGTCCATCCTTCGGTGAAATCAGGGCACCTAATAAAAAAAAAAGGCAACTAATGTCTCACAACAATTCCAATCACTCTACATCCGTTTCCTTATTTTAACAGGCCAGGCATGCAGTTAGCGAGCCTACCACTGGGTCTTTGACTGTATCCACCAGTCGGATGATGTTGGTCCCTCCTCGCAGGTTCTCCAGGATCTTGATCTCTCGCTTGATCTTCTTCTTCTTGACCGGCTAATTCCACAGGAAAACCAAACAAGGGAAAACAAAGGCGGAGGTTTAGAGAGATCTTGGGGTATGAGACAAGAAAAAAAGAAAATTCACATCAAGACGTAGAAGTGGAGACGTTGGCCCGTGTGCTATTTCTGACTCCTGATCTTGAACCTGCTGATCCTGCCGCTGCGGCACTCTTCTGCATCCGTCTGTCAACCCTTGTTCAAAGACATTTAGTGTGGGCGGGGGAGGGGGGTGTTTACATTAAAATGACTGACAGACAACTTGACACTGGCTTTGACTCTTTGTCCCTTGCTAAATGGAAATGGAAACGGAAACAGGCATCCTCATCCGTCCAAGTAGGTCTATCTGATTCCAAAATGTAGGTGATTACACACTAATAAAAACATGAATATTATTCTCCATTTCTGCCAATAGATCCTCCTAAATGTTACACACTGGACCTTTAATGACTTTAATCACTGCTGTTTTTGGAGTGGAGCTTTAATGACTGTTCATTATGGAGGACATAAAATGACTAAATCGTTAATAAATATGTGAACATTTGCCAAGCGAACCGGGCTGAAGCTGAAGAGCTTGCAGCTAGCTCACATCAGTAGCAGCTGCACCAGTCAGCTTTATACACCAATAGTGAGGCAAAGTGACGCTCCTCCAACCAATCCTGCTTTAGAGTGCATCTAGTAGCGCCTACTTCATTACCATACAGGCACAGAAATAAACAAATCAATAAATGTCAAAATACAGAGAGAAATAAATGTAGATTTGTAGAAATAAAAACATATTCATTTCCTCATTAATTACCAACATTTATGTATTAATGTTATATTTTCATGTATTCATTTCAGCTTATATTAGTTTCTTATCTAATTTATTAATTTGAATATTATTTATATATTTAAGCATTTATCAAAGGAATAGATATGTAATAGTGAAAAAAGGGATGACAAAAAAACACTTA